TGACTACTTCCCCAGGAACTCACCCGGCATGCTCCACACAAAGGGGACTTTTAATTTCTCAGACTCTCTTCCGGGCCTGTGTCTATGTTCCCCCTCATCCTTCAGATCATTTTTCCTTGACCAAGGTTGGGTTAGGGACTCCTTAATGGCACGTGGCACTGATCATACTAGTGTCATTGCTGGTTTGCTCTGCTCATTAAACTGTACAAAATGTCTTTATTTTCCATTATACCTAGTTCCTGGCACAAAGCAAGCACTCAAAAAGAACTGCTGGATAAATTAATCTGAATTATTGTCTCACTCTGGTCGACCCTGGGCTCATTAAATCACTAATGAAACTGTTCCCCTATTGGTCTTGCTGTCCTGTCACTGTTCTTAATGGATTAGTAAACTTTTGCATTCCTGACACAAAATGTCCCTCATATTGTCCACACCGTCCCCCAAGCCTGGCACACCAGCGATCAGATGCAGTGACAGAGCATGGACTGCTTACCCTCTTCATGACATTCTCCTGGAAACTGAGGTTTCAATGCAAAAGTCCCATTTTTCCTATTTCCTGAGTATTCCTAATGATGATAGAAAAGGAGGAAGCAACAATTCTTCCATCTACTGTTCTGACTAGTCACAGGAAAAGCTTTTAAGGGACAATGTGCATGCGCACGGGGGAGTGCTGCATAAAGTCAGACTGACTCGAGACCTAGGAGTTCACAACCTTCATGGAGTCTTGCTCAAAGTAAACCCTTTTGATTAACAAACATAAACATTTGACAGAAGTATTTACAATAGTCATTGTATTCACCAGTTACTTTACAGTGTGGACTCTCTGATGACGCATGAGGACTGATCTGTGCCGGAAAGCCTTCCCACATTCATTACATATGTAAGCCTCATCCCCAGAGTGGATTCTCTGATGCTGAACCAGGGCTGAGCTCCTTTTGAATGTTTTGCCACATTCAATACACTGATAAGGTTCCTCTCCACTATGAATTCTCTGATGTCTAATGAGGTTTGAGCTCAAACTGAAGGCTCTTCCACACTCATTGCATTCATAGGGCTTCTCTCCACTATGTATTCTCTGATGGGTTATCAGCTCCGAGCTCTGCCTGAATGCTTTCCCACATTCATTACATTCATAAGGTCTCTCTCCTGTGTGGATTCGCTGGTGTCTTACAAGCTTTGAGCTTTGGCTAAAGGTTTTCCCACACTCGTTACACTCATAGGGTTTCTCACCAGTATGAATTCTTTGATGGATGATGAGATATGAACTTTGACTGAATGCTTTGCCACATTCATTACACTTACAAGCTTTCTCACCTGTATGAATTTTCCGATGTCTAATGAGGGCCGAGCTCTGATTGAAGGCTTTTCCACACTCACTACATTCATATGCTTTCTCACCACTGTGGATTCTCTGATGAATAATCAGATACGACCTCAAGCTAAAGGCCTTCCCACACTGGCTGCATTTGTAGGGCTTTTCTCCGGTATGGATTCTCTGATGTTGTGTTAGAGAGGAATGCTGTTTAAAGCTGTGCCCACATACATCACATCTATGAGGTCTCTCTTCCGTAGGAACTTTCTGAAATGTTCTAGAGCTTGTACTTAGAATCAGGCTTCTCTGGGGCTCATGGTGGAATCTCTTTCCTAGAGATCTCTGTGTGATGGCTTGACTACAACTGCCTGCTGGTGAAGGGGAGCTTCCTAATTTCTCCCCTGAAGCACTTCCTTGCAGCCTCTTGAAGTGGCTTTTGTGTTCACTAATTCTTCCGAATGAGAGTTCCTGGAGAAGTCCTGCTTTTCCTCCTGAAATATCCTTCTTTGCCGCTGATCCATTGTTCTCACAATCTGAAATGATAATAGCAAAAACCAGATTTTTAGTTTCTCCAATCACTCTCAATACTTTCTTTTTTTTTTTTTTTTAAATATATTTTATTGATTTTTTACAGAGAGGAAGGGAGAGAGTTAGAGAGTTAGAAACATCGATGAGAGAGAAACATCGATCAGCTGCCTCCTGCACATCTCCTACTGGGGATGTGCCTGCAACCCAGGTACATGCCCTTGACCGGAATCGAACCTGGGACCTTTCAGTCCGCAGGCCGACGCTCTATCCACTGAGCCAAACCGGTTTCGGCAATACTCACTTTCTATGTGAGAGAAAACAGATGCTCCAACCACAAAAGATGTCACTATTCACATATATCTGTAACACTGACTCTGTGGACAACACCTCCCTTCCAGAAACAGCTATATTAGCCTGATTTCTGTGGCTGTTCCTTCTCAGAGTCAAGACCAACCACTCAAACATGAGTTCCTTCAAATTTTGTGCTGGGCTCTCATGTATCATCCCCAGTCTACAAAATGTCCATCCCCTAGACTTCAATTACTAATGTACTTATGATATACACTAATCAGATCCCCAGTTCTATCCTGTTTCCTCTGATAAGCTCTAGACTTGCATATCCAATGCTGACTGGACATATTACTTGTGAATATTTCACAAGCACCTAAAAACATCATCCGTGTGTTTTTTCCTTTATGTTTTCCATGTATATGAAATAGGCCCACTATTAACCAAGTAGTTTAAGACTGAAACCTGAAACCTCAACTCCTAGCCACATGCTCCACTTTAACAATGACCAGCTACTGCAATACAATAAATACCGATAAGCAGGAGTCGGCTTTGATATTCCCCACCTCTCACCACAATACACCTTGATTTATTCACCGTGGCCACTTGATTATAACAGTTTCTAACAGGGCTCTATCTACTCTTACCTTAAAATGCATTCTCCATCCTGCAACTAAATTTTAAAACACACACCCAATCATGTCATTCCCTTGTCCAAATCCCTTCACATGTACCCACTGCACTGTACAAACTAAGTAGAATGACATACAGGTTTCCACAATCTGAGTCCCATTTTCCTGTCTAGTTTCTCTTACCACCTCTCCTCTATAAATTCTCTGTTCAAGTTAAATTGAATTTTCTGCAATTCACACAATGGGCTATAGTCTCTCACCTTTAGGACTTTGCGGCCTTTGCTTGTGTGATACTATCTAATAAAGAGGGAATATGCTAATTGACCCTCACACTGTCACAAAGATGGCAGCACCCACAGCCAATGAGGGAATATGGTAAATGACTGCCTGCCCTCAAAGATGGCAGTGCCCACAGCCAATAAGGAGGGAATATGCTAATTGACTGCCACACCCTAAAAGATGGCGGCGCCCAGTCCCATCAGCCCCGCTGGGGTGGCAGCCACGTGCCTGCCTCCGGAGTCCCCCAGTCCCCTCAGCCCCCCAGGGCTGCCTGAGGCTCAGGTAACCAGGGCCAGCCGAGGCTTGCGCTGCTGGCAGTGGCAGCAGCAGAGGTGTGATGGAGTGTCACCTTCCCCTGATCACTGGGTTGCCTCCTACCCCTGAGGGTTCTCGGACTGTGAGAGGTGGCAGGCCGGGCTGAGGAACCACCCTCCAGTGCATGAATTTTCATGCACCAGGCCTCTTGTATTATAATTAACTAGAGGGCCAGTGCATGGGTAGGGTCCCTAGGCCTGGCTGGCCATCAGGGCCGATCGGGGCCTTCCGGCTGCTGGCCAGGGTCTTTCTTCCTTTGTTCCACACCGCCCCCTGGTGTTCAGCGCACATCATAGCGAGCGATTGAACTCCCAGTCTCCTGGTGGTCAAACTCCCACGGGGACAATTTTCATATTAGGCTTTTATATATATATAGATATTTGTTCTTCATCCCCAGTTCTGGGCACAGTGTTTAAATTTCCTAAGTGGTAGATGTGAGAGGAGTGCCTTCTGTTATTCATAAGCCCCTACCAACCATACCTGGGTTTATGCAAAGGAGTTGACTCTTGGAGGTAGGCTGATTGCCATAGGAACCAACCAAGTGATTAGAACATTGGAACTTTCAGCCCCATTCCCTGGCCTTCAGGAAGAAGGGCTGGGTTGAGTTAGCTAATCATCAACAGCCAATGATTTAATCAATTGTGCCCAGGTAATGAAACCTCCATAAAAACTTTAAAGGGATTCAGAGAGCTTCCAGGATGGTGAACGCATCCAAGTGCCAGGAGAACGGCACCCCAAACTTCACAGCTACAGAAGCTCTGCACTCAGGACCTTTCTGGACTTTACCCTATGTACTGCTAGTTCATTTGTATCCTTTATAATAAATCAGTAGTAGTAAGTAAGGTGTTTCCCTGAGTCCTGTGAGACATTCGAGCAAATTATGAAACCTGAGGTGGGGTCATGGAACTGCCAATTCACAGAAATCAGATGTGTGGGTAACCTAGACTCGTTACATGCAATCGGCATCTGTAGTGGGGGTCAGTCTTGTCGGACTGAAACCTTAACCTGTGGGATCTGCACTCATTTTGGGGAGCTAGTGTCAGAACTGCTTACTGTGAGGGAAAACCTCATACATCCGGTGTCAGAAATATTGAGGCAGTCTTTTCCTTTAGCCTATTTTCCCACCTATTTACCTGGCTTCTTCCCACTTCTAGTTCAAGTCTTAGATGTGTCTTTAAGAATTATTCCTTGAACCGCTAAGATTGGATATAGTGCCCAGTGCCTACTCTTATTCTATAATTTACTACACTATACTGCAATTGCCGTTTTGCTTGTCCACCACCTACATAAACCTGAAAGTTCCTTGAAGATAGAGACCCAGTGCCTATCACCATATCAGACATGTATTAGTATCCAGGTAAGATATATAATGAAGGAATAAGTAAAGAAACGACAGGGCAACTGACACAAGGAAGCCTGACTGTGATTTGTGAAGGTTGCTGAATACAAAGTGGCTAAATTCTAGGTCAGAGCACCTCTGGCCTAGAATAATAAAGGTGAGGCTTACATGTGGCATGTTTGTAAAATGCAATTCTTTGTGTATCTTCAAGGCCAGAGGCCTAACCGAGAACAGTTCCCAGATAAGTTTCTGTTTCTTACCACTTTGGGAGGGAAGGCAAGGTTCCCAAGGCTTCAGCTGTGCCTTTAAAGGCTGGAGTTGGATGTTTAACTCTTGGGATGCTCCAAGCCGTGTCCAATCCTTCCAGGGTAATGCTTGTCCTTGTGGACTAGCCGGAATCTGAAACCAGTAAAATATGGTTAGCGTGGTGAGAAAATCCCTAGGGAAACGCTTAGTAAAAATCTCAGAGGTTAACGAAGACATCCCCGGGCATGAGGGACAAGGGAAAAACTACTACTATGGTAGAGAAGGGCATGGCCCTCGTAGTCACGTCAGGGTCATGGTTCAGCAGAGACAAATTTTCATCCTGCTGTTATGATGACGCCACATGCTCCAGTGTGTAAATTCCTTTTCCCACAACACAGTGCATCTCCCTGTCCCCACCTGCTGTCCAGGATCATCAAATTCCCTCTCCAAATCCTCCAACAGAGTCACGGCTTCCTCGCCACTTTTTGGACCATATTGCTGAACCCAGGCCTGCAGCTCCTCGGGCAGGATGCTCAGGAACTGCTCCAGCACCAGCAGCTCCAGAATCTGCTCCTTCGTGTGCAGCTCCGGCATGAGCCACTGGTAGCACAGCTCCTGGAGTCGGCCCAGGGCCTCCCGGGGCCCAGGTGTCTCCTGGTAGCAAAACTTTCTGAACTGCTGGCGAAACAATTCTTGGCAAGATCGGGTACTCCCATTCTGCTTTAATTTCTGCCCCCAGGGAAGGCTTTCTTCTACTTTC